ACCAAGGAGTCTTGCTGGTTAAGTTAGATAAAAAGGCTGTTGGAAAAATCAGCTTCCAAGTACAGCTTATGCAGCAAACAGACAGACTAGATGACAGACAGACTGAGACAGACAGACACATGATAGATAGACAGACAAACAGACAGACAGACAGACAGATAGACCGATAGACAGATAGACAGATAGATAGATAGATAGATAGATAGATAGATAGATAGATAGATAGATAGATAGATAGATAGATGGTTAAGCATGAACACAAACTGATGCTTGACACACACACACACACACACACCACTGAAGTGTGTAAATCATTCTTCTCCAGCTGCTCTGATTCCTGCTACTTGACATTTGTTTCTTTTCACCTGCCAACTCTCACTTTTCACACCAGTCCATGCTATCTGTGAGTGTTTGTGTGTACAAATGTGCATGTGTGTGTGTGCCTTTTTCAGGTGTTGTCTGACCCTATAACCTTGCATTGATAACAGTGGCATGTCTTTGCATTCAGGCGTGTAACACATCAGTCCTAAGATAATTCAGTTATCAGTCTTCACGCAGTCTTTGGCTTAACCTACCCAGTGCACCAAAGAGAGAAAGTGATGAACAGTTAAGAAAAAAAACTAAATGCTGTGCAGCACATCAGTCAGTGATTTTTCCCCCCAAACAAATTAGAAAACAACTAAAACAACTCACTTTCCAATGAGGACAGTTTTGTAGTAGATCATTCAGCTGTAAATCTGCACGCAACATAAAAATCAGTTGGTAAAAGTTTTTTTTTTTTTACCATAAACCTTACAACAGCTGAACCACTATGATTACTGTGATGCTACTTCAAAATTTTATGTTGTTACTTGTAGTTATTTACTCCAGAACCCTGAAGACACTCAACACGTCATAAATGTAATGTATTTCATATATGATAAAATAGCTGTTGACCATCTTGGGATCTTTGCAAAGATAATTGGTACCCCTGTTAAAAGAACCATTATATGCTGGTTAGGTATGTTTTGAAGCATGGCTGCTTGTTTGAGCTGGTTTAAGCTGGTCCTGAGCAGCAGCTAGTTGCTTAGGACCAGCACACGACCAACTTAAACCAGCTCAAAGTTAAATCTCCTAAAAGTTAAATGCAGACCCAGATGTTTCGGCATTTCTATATTTTGCTTTGGATTTGTTTGAGTTTTTCTACCCTCATGTTGGTTTTTGATCGTCACATGGCCTACATGTGCTGATGTGAGGTAGACCCACTCTGCAATAAGGATATCTTCCCACTGAGGGCCATTTCAAATCACTAATACAAAATCAAGACTAATACCAGTTCCTTTAAACTCTTTGATCTTTTTTTTTTCAGAGCCTGTATCCTGCAGTCATACAGAGGTTCAATCATGCTGGATTTTACACTAAAACACATGCTGAATTCAGTTTTGCACTGACAATATATTATTTTGCTAGATACAAAATATATTAATTAATATAAACTGCATTGTGAAGTGCCTGCCATGAAGCTTTGTGGCCACCTGCACTGAATCACCATACAGAAATCAGATTGTGGTCTTTAGTGCTTGTTTGTTTGCCTTGAGACCATCTATATGCTAAATGAGAAAATAAACGTTCAACGATATACAGGTCAGCACAATCAGCACTATTTCAGATGCTCTTCTTAAAAGTTTTGAGCCTCAATCTACAAAGCTTCATTCAGAATGAGCCCTGTTGGCTACGCTAATATCACATGTATTAATGTAATCCATCTCACGCCACCCACACACACACAAATGCACATAGACAGACAATCAGACATACATCCAAAAAGAGCTCTGTCTTATGTAATAACATATCTGTAATCTAGAAGCAAACCAGCCATACCAGTACACATATGTACTAAACACACACACATGCACACAGCACTCTAATTTACACCAGCGAATCCATCATGCAATGATATTCTCCATGGAGTGCAGAGCTATGCTGAGATATGTGGGTTGGCTGCTTTAAGCCTGTTGTCAATGGTCGATAGATCACAGTGTTGTAAAAAATAAAATTCTGCTCTGGATCCCACTGCTCTGTTCACACAGGCATTTACCATTTATTAGCAGAAAAGAGATATATGCTAAATGAGAAAATAAACGTTCAACGATATACAGGTCAGCACAATCAGCACTATTTCAGATGCTCTTCTTAAAAGTTTTGAGCCTCAATCTACAAAGCTTCATTCAGAATGAGCCCTGTTGGCTACGCTAATATCACATGTATTAATGTAATCCATCTCACGCCACCCACACACACACAAATGCACATAGACAGACAATCAGACATACATCCAAAAAGAGCTCTGTCTTATGTAATAACATATCTGTAATCTAGAAGCAAACCAGCCATACCAGTACACATATGTACTAAACACACACACACATGCACACAGCACTCTAATTTACACCAGCGAATCCATCATGCAATGATATTCTCCATGGAGTGCAGAGCTATGCTGAGATATGTGGGTTGGCTGCTTTAAGCCTGTTGTCAATGGTCGATAGATCACAGTGTTGTAAAAAATACAATTCTGCTCTGGATCCCACTGCTCTGTTCACACAGGCATTTACCATTTATTAGCAGAAAAGAGACGAGAGAGATTGAGTTACACAGAAGAGGGATCGCTCACTGTCACAGAGTCTGAACTATGCAAGAGAAGGATCACTGTCACAGAGAGAGATCAGCTCAAATCACTGTCACTGAATGAGAAATCAGCTCAATGAGAGAGATGAGCTAAAGTTACCATCAAAAAGAGAAAGATTTGTTCAAATAGAGAATTCAGCTCAAGTCACTGTCATACAGAAAATAATTAGTTCGGATAGAGTGATTAGCTCAAATCACTGTACTGTACTGTAAGGGGGATCAGCTCAAAAAGAGGGATCTGCCTAAATAAATGTCACTGAGAGACAGATCAGCTCAATGAGAAATATCAGCTCACCTGCCCACTGTCAATGATAGAGAGATCAGTTCAAATCCCTGTATTGAAAGGCTGATCATTTCAAAGAGAAGGATCAGCTAAAATTACTATCACTGAATGAGGACAGAGATCAGCTCAAATCACTGTCACTGAAAAGGATCACTAAAGTCACTGTCATATCCACCTCATTTTTAAAATACATGCGGCCTTGGCCATTTGTAACTTGAATGTACAAGGCTTCAGGGAATCATGGGAATCAGCTCAGGGAGAGAGATCAGCTCAAATCACTTTCCTGAAAAGGGACAAATTCAAGGAGAGAGATCAGCTTAAATCACTGTCACTGAGAATGGATCAGCTTATTTCACTGTGATGGATGATTTAGTTATACAAGAAAGAGATCAGGTCCAGCCTTAGAGTCAGACATGAGGGACCAGGCAGACACTCCTTTGATCATGACTTTTGGGGAAGTGCAACATGGCTCTTAACCCTCTTATGACATTCCTAGTTTTACAATCTACAATACACATTCACTCACACACACACACACACACACACATAGACACCATAACCTGCCTATCACCACTTTGTATTCCTTAACAAACATTCTTTCCTTTCCTCTCATCTCCCACTATCCCTCCTCCTTCCTGTTCTTTTTCCCAATACTTAGAGGAAGAATAGCCCGTAAACAGCGCTGTAAATAAAGGTAAAGCTTGTAAACAGAGATTATCAGTCCAAACAGTCTATAAAAATTTAGTCTTAAAGCATCAAAGCCAGAAAGAGATGAGAAGTTTTAACATCTTGTCAGAGAAAGAGACCAAAGACAGACATACACCCTTCATTCAAACTACTTACAACCACAAATTTAGACTTCATCTATCCCACACACACACAAGTATACACATGTGTACACACATACACACACACACACACACTCAAATGCTGGCTATAGAACACTTGGCCTCATCTGTCGTGCACACAGTAGTAAGAGAACTGCTTATATGGCTGGAGAATTCCTCCACAGGTGGAGATAAGGGTCTAATGATGAGTGTTGGCCCAGCATGGTGCACTCATCCTGGAAAGGACAGGCGGCTGAAGAGGGGCTCTCCAGTCTGTCTGGGTCATAAGAGGCAAAAGCAGGAACTGATAAGAACCTCAAGCAGCCTCTTTACCACAGACAGACACACGCTTAACATCTATCCACTCATATCACCTTTATCACAGTGAGAGACAGAGAGTGTGTGTAGGGTTTAGAGAATTAAAAAATGCTACAGTAGGTACATATACTTACTAATTTTATTTGGTCAGAATGTTAATATTATTAGACCTGCTAAATGTAAATTTGACTATATAATAGGAGTGTTCAAATGTTTAATCAAGTGCATTTAAGGATACATTTTAATTTGATTTACAAGAGACTTTTGGCCATTATTGAGAAAAAAAGGTTAAGACTGACATCTAGTGTTTGATAAGAGCAATGCATCCCTTCATGCCGGTTTAAGGCAAATTTAAATATAATTTTGCAGTTAATGGTGCACTTATTTTTCCTTAAACATGTTTTTATATAATAGATTAAATTGTACTTCCAAAAATGTTTTACAATGTTTAAAAAGACTCTATAGAGTCTTACTTTATTTGTGCTTAAAAAAGTATTATTATTATTATATAGACACACACAGGGGGAAGGTACAGATTATTTTCAACAATTTCTGTAAGTATATCAGTGTTTACTGTACCACTTTTAAAAAAATAAAATGCAATTTTACCTGATAATGTAAGTTCACAGTTTTCTTTGAATGGGAAGCAATAAGGCAATGTACCGCAAAATAATGTAAAAATGTAAAGAAACGTCGTTGTATGTACTTAGGCTGCACCCCATCCCTCCTCCTATTTCCTATATAGTTCTCCTTTATTATCAGATGTATACTAAGTGCATATATAATGGGTTTTCATTGTAGAAGAATAATCCAACCGTAATAGACCTTAAGTTTCGTTTCCTCCGTTCTTACCGCTTCCGCATCATATAAACCAGTGTAGATCATAACTGACCTGATATCTGTACATCACCACAGAGCTCACGGAACCAGAGTTAAGAAACATGAGCAGGAAAAAGAGAAATAATCAGCTCTCTAAGGCTGATTTGCGTGTAGTTGGATTTGACTTTATAGAGTTTCTGGAGGAAAGCGAAAGGAGATCCATTACTGATAGAACACTTCTCAAAGACATCTACAATAATGAGTTCCGACACAGGTAAACATTTAACATGTTTTCACAGCTTCTTTAAAATATTTTGTATTGCTTATAATATTCCAGTTATGTCCACTGAAATGATCGATTTTTTGGAATTCATTTAAACAGACAATTCATTTAAAAAGGAAGTGGAAGTGTAGCCTATCAGTAGGCTATGTAAACAAACAGTTTTCTGTTTTCAAAACAGTTTTCTGTCAGGTTACATTTATTTATTTTCAGGCATTTTTATTCACAGGGATGGAGTCAGAAGAGACCCAAACTTCTCTTCAGTCCTCTTTGTATTGAGAAATTGCAGCAAAGCGCGCATCACCAGATCAGGACATGTTTACTTCAACACCAATGTAAGAACATTGTATTTATTACCACTGCAATTCTATTAGATACACATTTAGTTTGGTTTCTGTATTGTCAGTGTCCGTATATGCTAGGCTTGTATAAAATGGTGGTTTTTATGACACAGGCCCAGCAGCACCCAGAGTCTGAACATGTCTACTGTTGGGGTTTTATAAAAATAGATAATCTCATAATTACATACAATTTATGTCAATAGTTTGTAACAGAAATGTGAATATTAAGTTTTTCGAAATGCAAAACATGTACTCTTGTCTGAATTTGAAGCCTAAAGAGTATACTTTCATTTTTATCAGTCTGAAACTTAGGATCAGAGTTGATTCAGTGTTTTCTTGAATAGCTGTTGATACAAACTCCTTTGGACAATAACACTAAAGTCTGTGCATTTAAAACTATTGACTCTTGACCTGCAGCAGTTGTTATGCAATTTACACACACCGGCTTTTGATGCCACAGTTTATTTTAAAACCTTCATTTTAGCTACCTATAATGGTACTTGTATTTTTATTTGTAACTTCTACAATAGATGCAATTTTTTATGCCTATTATTAAGCCTTAATTTAATAGCATGACATAATTTTAGGGGGCAGTCATGACCTAATGGTTAGAGAGTCCGACTTGTAAGCTAAAGGTCGCGGGTTCGAGTCTCAATACCGGCAGGGATTGTAGGTGGGGGGAGTGAATGTACAGTGCTCAATAACACGACTGAGGTGAGACCCTTGAGCAAGGCACCGAACCTCCAACTGCTCCCCGGGCGCCCCAGGAAAAATGTCTGGCCACTGCTCCGGCTGTGTGTTCACTACTCACTGCTGTGTGTGCACTTGAATGGCTTAAATGCAGAGCACAGATTCAGAGTATGGGACACCATACTTGGCCACACGTCACTTTCACTTTCACTTAAGTTTAGTCCATTGCCCAGTTTGATGTATCAATTCAAAGACAACTGGATAACTGTAAATCTGTAACTTTTATCACCAAAGCTAATTCATTTTTAAAAAGACAGTGCAGATCAAAAGAATAAATCAACATTACTCAAGACAGCACATCCTCAATCTCTGAAGTTTCCTGGGCTTCACCTTGTCTACTGAATGTTAATAATAAGTGAGAAAACCATACCAATCTCCACTCTGCAATTTCAGACAAGTTCAACAGTGCCTTCTGAGAAAAGGAGTCTCTTATTGTCTCTGAGGAATGCTTTGGAGAAAGATAGTAAAAGAGAAAGACACAACGTGTGCTCATCTATTTAGAAAATAATATTTTAACATAGATTAGGTGCGTGGATGCATTTTGGAAGACAAAATTAGCAAAAACTGTTACCAGATCATTGGCCACAACACACACACACACACTAAAAAGCAACTATGAAGAGCATGAGTTATTGTTTTTAACAGTAAAAATATCTAATATGTTAAAGGCATAGTTCACCCAAAAATGGAAATTCTGTCATCATTTACTCACCCTCAAGTTGTTTCACACCTGCATGAGATTTTTTTTTTTTTTTTGAAGAATGTTGTTAACCAGACAGTTGCTGGTAGCCAAAATCAATGGGGGCACTAATCCTTTAACTTCTCTGATTCCTAGGTAGAATTATTATTCATTAAACAAAATATTCATGACTAACATGAAACTTGGACTAATGGCCTATTGATGAATGACTGGGTAATGTATAACCCTGCAGTTAAATATGATAATCTAGCCCTGTCATAAATACGGGTTGGTTATATTGCTCAAATAAAATAAAATAAAATAAGGAAGGCCTGCTAGTTTGGGGCAAGTGTGAAACAGTTTCAAGTCAGCTGATGCAACAGTCACTTGCTCTTTCAGGCCAGTTTTTGTCAAAATTGTAAAAATGGCTTGTGATTGTCTTAAAAGCATTTGTAAAAATCTATATACCGGTATATTAGCTATACACTGCAAAAAATTGCTGTAGTTTCTACAGTAACACTTTACAGAACATTACTGTTTTAAACATTTTACAAGATGTAGCTGTAATTCAGAATGCATTATGGGTCAAATAAGGTTTTACAGTTGTTAACAGTATATTTCCATGTCAACTGTAATTCTTTTACAAGAAGCAGGTATTGTCACTGTAGCTCCTGGTTTTTACACTACTTACTGTATTGTGGCATTATGGGATTGCGCGCGCGTCATTCAAATCTGAAATCCAGCCGACTGGAGCAGCTCGAGAAGATTAGAGGCTTTATTCATAATACCGGGTAAGTTCACTTAATTTTACTTAATAAATATATCCTTTTATATTTATTTAAGTTAATGTATAAGGGATATCATGTTACAATAGCCTGCTATCACGACATTTAGACAAGCGGCCTTGGTATGTGCAGTAAACTGGAAATGTGCTGTGTGTTTCGTTGTGAAAGCGAAACTACTTTGTTTGGTCTTCCAAAAGAGGATGATATGGAGTCCAGCCTGCCTCAGCTCACTCTATCCCGGCCTCAGCACACGCTAAGCCGGGGCTTCCCCTCAGGCTATGGCCGCTGTGTTTTTCGTTGTCACTGACGATTCAAACGCGAGTTTTGGGCAGTGTAGAGTAGCCCTTGTTGTTTGTCGTTTCTCCGATCACAAATGCAGACAGGGTTTTATGTTTACGCGGCGCGATGCAACGCAACGTGTAAAAAGATAGTATAAGTCATTATAATCAATAATTATGTCCCCACTGGATACAACAAATGCCTCGTTTGTATTGGGTTTTAATGTTTATGTCTCGTCGCTCCGGCCGGACACGGCATCAACAGTATGTGAGGGGCGTAACATTTCCGTCACACGCTTGAGGTATTCGGCCAATCACAACGCACAGGATAGCTGGCCAATCACAGCACACCTCGCTTTTTCAGACCATGAGCTTTGTAAAAATTGACGGGGCATAGAGGAGAAACAATAATGTACAGTATGTGGAAAATAATGTGTTTTTTTAACTTTAAACCACATAAACATTTCATTACACCAAATACACAAAATAATGTTATTTTTAGCAGCATCATATGACCCCTTTAAGATAGTGCTCATGATAATGCATTTAAACCCGTATTTTACAGTTTACAATTTTCTGTTAAAATTATTCTTTGCGGCATTTCCATTGTTAAATTAAAACATCATCTTGGATTCAGGGGTATTTACAGGATTATATTGGCAACTTTAGTTGCCAGGTAAATACTGTACTTTAGTGAGATTACAAAATCTACTGTAAAATAAACTACAAGTTTAATTCAATGTTACTGTAAAAATACTACAAATTACTGTATTTCACATACAGCAATTAACCGTAATTTGCTTTGCAATATTATACTGTAATCCATTTTACAGCAGTTAACATCATTTTTACAAGATTTTATTGGCAACTTTTTTGCCAGTAACATCCTGTAAATTCTACGGTACATTTTTTACAGTGTACACATGGGCAACATTTAACTCTTCAGTCATTTAACTTACTTTCTTAAAAAAGTCTTTACGAATATAAATTTCAAAACACTGTCCTGCACAATACAGCATAGTCAAGAATATCTTAAAGAGGTTGCCAACATTTACTAACCTGTGGACTAGTTTTGACTCTTGCTGTTGATTTTTAATGGCAATGCGATGTCCGTTTTGGACTTGTTGCCACCAAATGCGAGACACAACGTGAAGAAGAAGAAGAAAAAAACTCAGATTTGGGACTCTATTCAAGCCAGTCATAAATTGCTGGAATTGAAATGAAATTGCTGGTTGATGTGGCCAGATCTCAATAAAGTTTTTGGTCCATGAACGCGCGCTGTCTGTGTAGGCTTGGCCAGGCACGGTTCCAGAATTAAATCACTGAGGGTGTCCCGTCCATTGCTATGGTTATCACTTCATAAAAGTGTCAATCACGGATATTTCGAGAGTGAATCCAGCATAAATATGCGGATGTCATTCCCAAAGCTTTGCAGCGTGTATGTGTCCGAAAAACAAAAGTTTAATACAAATTCTGCCTAAAAAGTGTGCAAAGCACGCTCTATTTATAATCAATAAAAAGCTGTAACTTATCTTAGTTCATCACGATCTCACAAAATTCCGTTATAATCAATGAAGCTCTCAAAATTGTACAATAAACCTCTTATTTACATGGCGTCTGCATTTTGGTATGGAGATGATTCAGGAGAGTGAACTGCACTGAACAAAAACTCCAGCGTTTTCAGCAGTGAGCCAATGTGAACAACTAAAACGTCTCTGATTGGCCATTATGCTCTAGAAACAGATGCTGCATATTATCCATCCTAAATAGTATTCGAAATTAGAATTACTATGTCCCAAATCATAGTATTTTGAAATGAGTATGCCAGAGATTCCGGATGGTTTACAGCTTCCGGTAGAAATTCGAAGTGCAGATACGTGTACACTCTAATAGCTAATATTGCCCACAACACATTGCGTGGTGGACGAGGATTCGATTAGAAATACAAACACGCATACAAAGTGTTAAAAAACTACAAACATGGCAGATATGTGAGAACGACAGACAGGTAGAGAAAGGGGTTTGAATAATAAATAATCAATATCTAACCTGTTGAAAAAATATTTATTTAATGTGTCTGCGTTAGATTTCATCTGCAGCAACACTGAACTTTTATAAAGATACGTTTGGTCATTAACTTTTAAATGCATCATTATGTAAAACATATGAGGAGAGTTCTCGGCATGAAAGACCCGATACTGGCAGATCAACGTGCCTCTTAATTTCTCTCCAGTATGGTATGAAATCAAATTAAACAAAATATGGATAATGTTAGACAAGATGATTAACTGGGCAGTTTAAATGGTGACAGGATGCTCGTAACTAAGCAACAGAGCGTCTGTTAAAGATGCAGTTATGGCAAAGTAGTATGTCCCAAAGCTAGCCTACTATTCTGCTACATACTCAAAAGTATGTACTTTTTCTTCACAAAAAGAGTACATACTTTAGGGCATAGTATAAGTAGGCGAATTGGGACGCAGCAAGAGATTATTTTACTATTGGGAGATGAGAGGGTCTGGAACTACAAACGCATGAAAAGTGTTTAAAAACTACAAATATGGCGGATATGTGAGACCGACGACGGACAGGTAGAGAAAGGGGTGTGAGTGATAAATAATCAATGACTAACCTGATGAAAAAATATTTATTGAATGTTATCCGCGTTAGATTTCATCTGCAGCAACACTGAACTTTTATAAAGATACGTTTGGTCATTAACTTTTAAATGCATCATTATGTAAAACATATGAGGAGAGTTCTCGGCATGAAAGACCCGATACTGGCAGATCAACGTGCCTCTTAATTTCTCTCCAGTATGGTATGAAATCAAATTAAACAAAATATGGATAATGTTAGACAAGATGATTAACTGGGCAGTTTAAATGGTGACAGGATGCACGTAACTAAGCAACAGAGCGTCTGTTAAAGATGCAGTTATGGCAAAGTAGTATGTCCCAAAGCTAGCCTACTATTCTGCTACATACTCAAAAGTATGTACTTTTTCTTCACAAAAAGAGTACATACTTTAGGGCATAGTATAAGTAGGCGAATTGGGACGCAGCAAGAGATTATTTTACTATTGGGAGATGAGAGGGTCTGTATTACTTACTATTGGAGAAAGCGTAACGGCTTACTTGGATCACGTGTCCCTTAATACCCAATGACATTACAGCCTTGCCGTCAGGGTGAATTCCAAACGGCCTTTTTGCACCCTTGATGGGCACTTCGGGAAGTGGACGCCATTTGTTGGGACGTTCCAAATGAAAGTGAACAAATGGATCCCTTCACGAAGGGCCCTTCCAGAAGTCCGTTAGCGAAGGGAACCTGTGATGGTCACTTCACGGAAGTGATTTCCGTTTGTGATCATGTGATCTTCAGTTAGGAGATCTTGCGATGCTTTTTAAAGCAAAGTTGGGGTTGATTTCGAGTTCACATACAAACATAAATAGAATAGGCTAATTAAATTTGTCTATTTTAATGTAAGACAACATATTTTTCGTCAGTGATAGAAATATGATTTAAGACGGTAGTGTAAGCAAGTTTAGTTTGAAAACGTTTAATAGTAAACAAGTCACAATTAGACAATATTTGAATAAAATAATAATAAGAAGAAGAAATATTTATTTGCAACTACTGGTGGCGTGCTGAATGCTGCACGCACACGCAGCGCTGTCAAGGTAACATTTGGTCCGTCATTCCCTTCACCAAGGAAGTTCCAAATGCTTATACAAGACAGTAATACCCTGCACCCTTCAAAGAACACACTTCAAGGGCTCTGCCCTTCGAAGGGAGTAGGGCATAGGGATGCTCACTTCCGTTTGCAATTCGCCCTGAATTTCATTCAGAGTTGTGCGACACTCAATCGCCGTTTAGGGATCCCATAGGAATGAATGGAAGCTGAATCCCACCTGTCGCAAAAAGTCAGTGACTTCTCTTATAAAACAGCATTTATAATAAATAAAACGTGGTAAACTCTAAAAATAGTTAAATCCAAAAGTATTGTTCACTGTAAAACATGTTGAAGATTAGCAGATAGGCTGTCGATTCATTAAATGATAAGCCGTTTCCTCTAAAAAGCTGTTTATTCAGTGAAGTGAAGCCTCTCCTCCATTTTGACATCCATTAAAAAAAACGGCCTCTGGGGCCAGGTCAAGCTCAAACTGATGCGCAACGTTTTGCTACGGTTTCCGGTTTGAACGACATGTTTCCTGGAAACGGTGTGCAACTGGGTTTGAGATACGTTTTCTCTTGTTTGGTGGGTGTGTCAAAAATGTCAGCCCAATCAGCAGCAACATGTATATAAACCACGCGGTATTAAAGAGACAATGTAATTAACATCAAAATAAATGCACAAGATCAAGTATATTGTTTGCACATGTTTATTTACATTAAAGGCAAAATAACTGAAATAATAAGAGCACAAGTACAGATCTGGAACTTCTTTAAAGGTCCCCTGAAATGCTTAGAAACACGAAGCGTTACTCTATGTGTTGACGTTATTTTAACTGAAACAGGAAGACAGGGCGGGACATATCAAGCAGCCAAGCCCCCTTTTAAAATAGTCGAGCGTATTTTGCAGTATTAAACACGTATTTATACTGATTTCATCAGACTCAGAAAATTCTTCAAAAAGAACATAAAAATGTCCTTCTTAGCTGCCATAGTTGCAACTCTTGGGTCATCAGAACAGTGTGTTCAACGCACCACTGTTTCCGTTTAAAAAACGTTTTGCACCGTTTTGTCGGGGATGAACGTAGCCCTGGTCTCCTTTCCCATGTACTGCCAGACCGGAAGCGTTAGCTTTAGCCGTTACGGATTTTCGGCTAATGGTTGCAGGCTTGCCTTCTAGTGGCTTTGCTAGAAATCAACAGATATGTCTGTGATTGGCTGCATTGCTCAACACTGCAAAAACACGTTGTAAAAAGTTACTTTTGACTCTTTCCAGAGCGCAAACACATACGCCCTGGATAGTTTACTAGATTTTCAATTGAGGGTGCTTTTGCTTTCTTTTGAAGGTATTTAGCACCCTCTAGCACCCCTGTAGAACTGGGCCTGGGTTCCAAATTGCACTTGTTATATGTTTCAGTTAGTTGTTTCAGTAGTACGCTTTTTTTAAGTTTAAGTTTTCAAATTCTATCTAATATTTATATTTTATTTCAGCTTTTATTAATTACCATAAATAAGCAAAAATCTGAAATACTGGAGCAAACAAAAAATCATGACCCTTGAGTCCTGTTATACCCTATGTGTTAGTGTGATGTACACATGCAGATAATGGTCAAAACCTTGTAACCCTATTGTGGAATTTCTAGGTCAGAGTGCAGCACGATCAGTGGTTTAGACCCCGTCGCAGACAGCAAAACCAAGCTACTCCCCCTCTGAGTAATGGTAGCTCACCGCCACCCGCTAGTGCCCAGGTTCCTGACCCACCATCAGTGCCAGGGCCAGAAGATGGAGTTAGAGGAAGGAGAAAACTGTCCAAAGACCTCCTGCGCAGAATAAACACTACAGAAAAGTGAGCTGGTCTCTCTGTATGATGGGTACAAACCAACCTCTGAAAATACACAGAATGCAAAGAGATACAAAGTGTCAATGACATTACGGCCTGCTGTCATTTACGATGTAGTATATTTTATTTCAGCTTTTATTAATTACCATAAATAAGCAAAAATCTGAAATACTGGAGCAAACAAAAAATCATGACCCTTGAGTCCTGTTATACCCTATGTGTTAGTGTGATGTACACATGCAGATAATGGTCAAAACCTTGTAACCCTATTGTGGAATTTCTAGGTCAGAGTGCAGCACGATCAGTGGTTTAGACCCCGTCGCAGACAGCAAAACCAAGCTACTCCCCCTCTGAGTAATGGTAGCTCACCGCCACCCGCTAGTGCCCAGGTTCCTGACCCACCATCAGTGCCAGGGCCAGAAGATGGAGTTAGAGGAAGGAGAAAACTGTCCAAAGACCTCCTGCGCAGAATAAACACTACAGAAAAGTGAGCTGGTCTCTCTGTATGATGGGTACAAACCAACCTCTGAAAATACACAGAATGCAAAGAGATACAAAGTGTATCACCTTCATACATTACGGCCTGCTGTCATTTACGATGTAGTATTGCTCTTTGGATTCCTATTTTATGTTTTACAACATCTGAGTATGAAAACTAGCTCTGTTGATGCTCTTTTCTTTCCCAGGTCTGTGTTTATCGCTGATAAAGGTGGGGTGCAGGTGTCCTCAGAACTGCAGATAGAGGATGGCATGATTCAGCTCTTTGTGGAGAAGGCAGAAATTCATGACCTAAAGCTGTTTGTGGAGAACACGGGTCAGGCGGCCGTGTATTTCACATACTACACTGCTCTTCACTGGATTCAGTATTTCACTCTGGAAGACAGCAGAAGAGTCACACGCAACAATCCACTCCGTCTGGAGCCAAGTGAGTGCAACCCAACTGTACATGTGTACAGGTGAAACTGGTGTTGATGTTGTTTGTAGGTTTCGTTTGGTATCATGCTAGTCTCTGACTTTAGTCTCTGATGTATTATAAAAGGAAAATGTTTTTTGGAGCCACTGTGCAGTGCTAAGCGCATGTGCCCTTGACTTGTTGGGTTGTGGTTTTAAGGTGAGTGTCACAGGTTTGAAGCCAACCTGTTGCTCTCTCTCTCATTTTTTAAAGGTGAGAAATATGAGGTGACCTTAAGATTCAAAGCAGAACAAATAGGAGTTTATCCAGCCACTCTGGCATTTGAGTTCAAGGAAAACACCCAGCCCGCCACCCATCCTTTCCACATTGTTCGGTTCATTCAGGCAGAATACAGATCTGAGCTTGCAGCTCTGCTGGGTCCCGAAGAACCATTCAGACCTAAGAGGCTTGAGACATATGAACCTGCGTGGTGCAACATAGATGAGGGAGATCCACCTGAGAGGTGATAGATGCACACTCTTTTTAAGAATGACATTTTTTATGTTGTTTTTCCCTGTGCTTATATTTGTACAGAAATTATTTATTTGCATGTTTTTGTCTCATTTGCAGTTCTGCCCGAAACCTTTTGAAGTTTGTGGTGCCACTGGATTACTACACTCGTCCTTCTTACATCTCTGACTTAGCAGAGGTCCTAAAAGGCAACCGTTCTTCCCCGAGGCGCCAGGAACAGAAGTTGGTGGTCTCTAGTTGTGCATAATTGTGCTTTTCGGTCTTAGCCCTGTTACTGGTCTTTGAATGGTCTAGAATCAGCTCTCTGCATAAACATGTATAGTAGAAGCTATTGTTACTGTTTTCATTGGGCGTTTGGTGGTTTTTAGGTCACTGCTGGAGAGTGATCTGAGTTTTCATAACTATATGGAGCGCTTTGATTTACTGCTGTACCTAGAGGAGGATCAAATGTGTCTGGACATCAAGAGGTATGACAAAAAGGATGTGTCCATGGTGAAGGACCATGAGAACAAACGACTACTGGTCTTAGAGGCGAGTGGCAGTGTTTTACTGACTGTTATTTAAAGCATGTGATTGTGGCTGCGTCCGAAAGCTAAAAAATGCTGCCTTCGGAGGATGCATTTCAAGGTAGGAAGGCAACAAAGCACATCCAATTCCAATGTTAGAGATTTTTGAAGGCAACATCGATGTATCCACAACTGCCTTTGATATCCCACGATTCTGTGCATTCAGTTTCATGACAGTTGAGGTACAAAATAAAGATGCCATCTGAAAATTGTGGTTGGTGGTCAGTTTGTGTGTAAATGTCCATTTTTGATTGAATTGTTCCACTTCTGATGTAATTTCTAGCAGAAAATTTGTATTGTAGTAATTAAATATTAAATATTCACTAAGTTATCACCAAAGCTCTCTCTATTTTGTTGTAGATCATTAAACCATTATGTTGCCTCAGATTCTGTTGCTTGCAGTATCATTGTCTGATATGGCAGAGAGGCAACAAGTCAGCTACGCTCTCGGGCGCAGCCTGTGTTAGACACATACAGAGTATCAAAAGCATAGACCGTGCATGGCTCTTAAAGGGACAGTGCACCCAAAAATTTAAATTCCGTAATTATTTACTTTAATTTGTTAATCTTCAACTCTGCTAAAGATGTAGTAAATGTAATACAAAGAAAAAAATGACAACAATGTCATTTTTGGGTGAACTGTCCCTTTAAGTAGAATGTGCTTTTATGTTTGTTGGAAAGAATAGGGTTTGGAGGTCTTATAATGTATTTGTTGTGTTAAAGCTCCCTGGCGTATCAGAGAACAGACCATCAGTCCTGAGGGGAGATCATCTGCTTCTCACCAAGAGTGAGGAGGTCGAACTCTCAACTGTGACCAAATACAAGGGCTACGTCCACAGAGTAGAACTGGATCAGGTCAAACTGAACTTCTCTAGAGGGTATGAAGTGTGAGGAGTTTAAGACAGGTGTCATTTGAACATCAGAACACTGAAGGAGTATTAAATAAAACAGGGTTGATATAGTCGATAATCAAAGTCCCAGATACAAGATGTAAGAGCTTTATGTACTACAAAAACATAATGTAAAACTTGGGCTAGTGCAAACTATGCTTGACTGGACAGCAAACCTGCAGCTCAGTTTCTCAGTTCACTGGTGAAGAGAGCATTTACATATAAGTCTTAAAGACATAGCAGCAAAAAATCAGCACATGTAATTGATCATTACTTAATGACTAAGAAGTCTGTCTCTTTACACTCTTGATTACCATTAATACAAATGTGGCATTTGCTAAAATGTTGCAGCCCAATCAAAGTATTTTAAGCTAAGGAGCACACTAAAAAATGACTGAAGAAGGCTCTCTGAAAAGGGTCTGTGGTAGATTTCCCCTACGCACCTGACTTAAATTAACTTTGGGGCTCCAGTTGATGCTTACAAATTTATCATCTAGCTGCGTCTTCAGTCCACATCGTACGACGTCTCGCCCCTTTTGAACACTATCAGATATAAGATCTTTAGCGTTCAACTAATATGCAGTAACCTGACAGACTCCAGACAGTGCCTTTGAATATGTTTTAATCACTGCTAGGAAGACCTGATACCAATCACAGAGAATCCAACAGTTTATATAGAATAGGTACATGGCAAAGGTAACATGACTCATTACATTATTTTTCTCTAATATGATTGGTTCTTCATATGTGCAATCCAGCAAAAGCAGTTTCCACAAAAATATTAAGAACTGTTTTCAACATTGATAGTAAGAAATGTTTCTTGAGCAGCAAATCAGCATATTAGAATTATTTTTAAAGGATCATGTGACACTGAAGACTGGAGTAATGACTGCTGAAAATTCAGCTTTATTGTCACAGAAATAAATTACATTATAAAATATATTGAAATAGAAAACAGTTTTATATTGTAATAATATTTCACAAGATTACTGTTTGTACTGTATTTTTTAACAAATAAATGCAGACTTCTTTCAAAAACATAAAACAATCTTACAGACCCCAAACTTTTGAACAGTAGTGTCAAAGTCAAACATCAAAGGCTTTACATACTTAAGGTTTACAAAAATTATGCCATGTTCATTTGGTCTTATTTTGCATATTTATTTGAAGACCAGATTTAAACTTTGTGTATATGTGTGTCTGTGTTTTATGTGTAAAGGCTGCTTGACAGTTTCATAGATAATATGAAATTCCGTGTGGAGTTCACAGTGAATCGTCTCCCATTAAGACTGCAACACAGAGCAGTACACATGGCGGTCCAGCACGAGCTCAGAGATGTGCTGTTCCCTGTGGGCTCAAGGGACGTAACCCCTGCGTCTCCAACTACACTGAGGTCAGTAAGACACATCTGTACTGAACAAAATGAAATTTTAGAGAAACTTTATGGAATATTTCAGCGGGATCTGTATGTGTGTGTATGTGTGTGTGTGTGGGGTGGGGGGTATCTACAGGCTTTTTGATCAAAAGCTGGACAATAACCTTGAACAGAAAACTGCAGTATGTAACATTGTAGCCGGTACGTCCAAGCCGGCTCCGTACTTGGTGTTTGGACCTCCTGGCACTGGTAAAACTGTCACGATAGTGGAAGCCATCAAACAGGTAAATCTGGTTATCATGCTCAAATAAATATACACCCAACAGACACACCTACATGCAAATCATCTCATTGTGTCTCTATGCAAAATTGAAAAAGCAAAACAGCTATTTTAATTGACTATTTCACTTTATTTTCTTCTCACAGGTGGAGAAGAATATACCTGATGCCTATATCCTAGCTTGTGCTCCATCTAACAGTGCAGCTGATCAACTGTGTGAAAAGTTGATCACTAGTGAACATGTTGATTCACGGAAAATATACAGACTTTATGCTAGTTCACGCAACCCAAAAGTTATCCCTAAAGTCCTAGAGGTTAGTGCTAGTCTGACTTTATATGTTAATTAAAGGTTTGATTAAATGAACTAAATAAAAAATGGAAGATTTGATGGAAAATATAAAATAGCAATGGTACATTTTACCTTTCATGTATTTTTTATAAAAATATAAAACTAAATATAAATATTTAAAGAATTAAAAATAAGTCAGCTGTATCACTCAGTTCTGTTTTACTTAGCTATAAATGGGAAAAAAATACATTGCAAAGTTAAATGTAAAAATGTTCACTTTGGTTTTTTATTTTTCCTAGAGCTAACGAGGCTCAATACGTGATTTTTAAACATTGCAAATATTTGAACCATTTGTTCAAAAGGCTAAAGTGAACACATATTTAAATTTTAATAACAGCAAATTGTAGGCAGAATTTTACATTCTTTTAACTCATTAAAATGTAATGTAAATAGTTTTATGTAAATAGAGAGAGAGAGAGACGTTTTGAGAATGAGCTGTGTGTAGTTTTTGTTGTTGTTGTCATTGTTGACTGTCTTTTTGTGTTTAGAAAAACAGTAATGTGGAGGGAGACCACATTATTTTCCCACGTAAAGAGACTCTAGTGTGCTACAAGATCCTGGTCAGCACTTTGGTCACCGCAGGCAGGTAAAGGGCTTCATCCTCTACAAACACAATGAAGTCACTCTCTTCCACATGCATCATAGCAGTCAAAAGATAAAGAGTGTTTACTATATGTGTGTGTGTGTGTTGGTAGGCTGGTCAGTGGGGGTTTTCCTGTGGGTCATTTTTCGCACATCTTTGTGGATGAGGCAGGACATGCTGTGGAGCCAGAGACCATCATCAGTGTGGCAGGTGGAGTGCTTCATAGAATAACATTGGGAAAACTGTCAGATCTTTCATTTGAAATCAGCCTGTTGTAGCATTTCATCTTTGTGTGTGTAGGACTGCTGAATGCAAAAACTGGACAGCTTGTTTTGGCTGGTGATCCCAAGCAGCTGGGGCCAATCTTGAGATCTCCTTTTGCCATTAAATATGGACTTGGTGAGACGAATAAAGACACACATACCAGGGCTCTCAAGTCTCATGCATTTACCGTGAGACACACGCATTTCAATCAGTTCACACGCTCACACCTTGTATTTCTCATGCTGAGAAGTAATGGATAACATGTCCCACTATAGCCTATACAATTAATGAACAATTAAAATTCATAGCTGTCTCGAGTTATACAGAGTTAAATGTCACCTACCAGCCAATCAGAAATTAGAATGTTGTTGTTTCCATGTAAATTACGTGACCCCGCTACAAGCACGTTTGTTAATAGGCAACATGGATGCACATACACAAAGTGAAAGTTGGAAGAGCAAGACCCGATGAATACTGTAACCCCTTCTTCTTCTTCTTTTTTTTTTAGCATTTTGATGCTAAATTTGTGCTAAATTATTATTGATACAGTCAAAAACTCTTGAACTGTTTTGCAACCAGAAGCTTTAGCTTAACTTTGGCTACCTGAAACTAAGGAAAGTACTAGAGATTTTATAATAACTGGTAAATCTGATAAAATACAAATTCATCCAAATAAAATAAATTTTTTAATGTATTTAAAACATACAAATATATCAAAAATAAAAAGAAATTTGGCCCTAAACGAGCCAACTGAACAGCACTGTTCAATGTATATACTGTACACATACAGTTAGGATTGCAGAACTTGCCCTGAACATGTATGTCAAGTTGTGTGTGTGTGTGTGAGAGAGAGAGAGAGAGAGAGAGAGAAACTGGTAAATCTGATAAAATACAAATTCATCCAAATAAAATAAATTTTTTAATGTATTTAAAACATACAAATATATCAAAAATAAAAAGAAATTTGGCCCTAAACGAGCCAACTGAACAGCACTGTTCAATGTATATACTGTACACATACAGTTAGGATTGCAAAACGTGCGCTGAACATGTATGTCAAGTTGTGTGTGTGTGTGTGTGTGTGTGTGAGAGAGAGAGAGAGAGAGAGAGAGAGAGAGAGAGTACACATTTCAGCTTATTAATGTTTTTTTTGTCTGTTGTGTTTGTTGCACATTTTGATGCCTTGATGACAGGGGTCAGGGGCTCCCATTTAAAGCACTGTAGCTTTCCCACTCAAATGCAGATGCAGAGAGAGTGTTCTCCATGGTGGGTTTGAACAATTAGTTCTTTTAGTTTTTGAGTGTTGAGTGATGTTTCTTCAGCATACATTTTTATGTGCCACTGCGAACAGAAGTAAAACATACAGTAAAACACAAATCTGTGAATTGCTTTAAACTGATTAAAAATGCTGTAATCAATCGTTTTTACAATAACTTAATCACAGAGAGAGTTACACTTATATACACAGAGAGAGAGAGAGATAGAGAGAGAGAGAGAGAGAGAGAGAGAGAGAGAGAGAGAGATACACATTTCAGCTTATGAATGTTTTTTTTGTCTGTTGTGTTTGTTGCACATTTTGATGCCTTGATGACAGGGGTCAGGGGCTCCCATTTAAAGCACTGTGGCTTTCCCACTCAAATGCAGATGCAGAGAGAGTGTTCTCCATGGTGGGTTTGAACAAAACCAAAAGTAGGAACAGTTTGGCTGTGGACAAAACACTATCATCCATCATGACGGTGAAATGGCTGGCCCTGAGCCACAGTGCTTTAAGTGGGAGCCTCCTACCCCTGTCATCAAGGCATCCAAATGTGAAACACAAAACACGATTCATAAGCTGAAATGTGTACTCTCTCTCTCTCTCACACACACACACACACACACACAACGCTTGACATACATGCTCTGGGAAAGTTCTGCAATCCTACTATATGTGTACAGTATGTTCTGTTCAGTTGGTTCATTTGGGGCAATTTTTTTTTTTTTACATATACATTTGTATTTTTGTATTATATAAAACATTGTATTTTATTTGGATGAATTTGTCTGTCTTTTATCAGATTTACCAATGTGTTCTCCATGGTGGGTTTGAACAAAACCAAAAGTAGGAACAGTTTGGCTCTGGACAAAACACTATCATCCATCATGACGGTGAAATGGCTGGCCCTGAGCCACAGTGCTTTAAGTGGGAGCCTCCTACCCCTGTCATCAAGGCATCCAAATGTGAAACACAAAACACGATTCATAAGCTGAAATGTGTACTCTCTCTCTCTCTCACACACACACACACACACAACGCTTGACATACATGCTCTGGGAAAGTTCTGCAATCCTACTATATGTGTACAGTATGTACTGTACATTAAACACTTCTGTTCAGTTGGTTCATTTGGGGCAAATTTTTTTTTTTTACATATACATTTGTATTTTTGTATTATATAAAACATTGTATTTTATTTGGATGAATTTGTCTGTCTTTTATCAGATTTACCAATTGTTATAATTTCTAATTGTGCTGGTCAATTATGAAGAATAGGTCAAATTGAACTACTAGCAAAAACTTGAGAGAATTGGGCGGGGCCGAGGGGCCACTGCTGCAAATATTTGAGTGGCTCCTCCCCTAACAGATGTAATCTCACTCCAAACTTTTGATTTAACTTGAGAGCCCTGCACATACAGTACACACTCAATTTATGTTGTAATTTGCATTGTAAATGTGTTTGTAGGACTTTCCTTGCTAGAGAGGCTGATGACACAGAATGAACTTTACCAGAAAGGCACTACAGAATACGACAGCCGTTATGTAACCAAACTGCTGCAGAACTACAGGTAAAGTCTGAATAATCCAAAAACCTCATCTGCAAAACTACAAATTGACTAGTTGTCTTACCAGCTTGTTGACTAGCTGCTCTTAAAGAAGCTCTGAATAGGGTCTAAGTGGGGGGGGCATTGATGGGGTGCAAAGTTCTCAAGGCTGAACAAAACTATTTTTAACTTGTATGGGTAAAATTTCTGATACATGTAAAGAAAGTCTCGGTGACGTATAGAGGAGGATCAAAAATGTGTAGACCTTTGTGTGGAGGGAGTGCAGATGATTATGGACAAGGAACAAATACCATCTAGAGCCATTTGTCTTTTTGATTTAGTAGTTTTGACTTGTAGCCAGGAGCCATTAAGAGTAGAAAAGAGTCATAGCCCATTATAAAGAAGTAAACAAATAGCCTTGAACATAAATTTGACTCCTGGCCATGAATGAACATGGGAACCAGAGGAAGCTGTGTGTGTCTGGGTTTTTGCTGTGCAGAGAAAGGCAGAGGACAGGATGCCATATGAAAAGTTTGGGAAAGCGCCAGTCTGAGTAAAATAGATTGAGATAGGCCCAATCCAAAATAAGTGTTCAGAATACCTAATCATGTATCCTGAATCAGATGTACGATTTCTACCACAAAACTGACACAAATGCTTCTTTCTTTGATATTTAGTTTGAAAATTGAAAATGTCTGAATCCGTTTTAGCACCACTGTAATAAAGTTTGTGTTCTAATCTGTGTTTCTAATTCCCATTTTTCATTCTCTCTTTGTCTCTCCAGGTCTCATCCATCCATTCTGAAGATTCCTAATGAGTTGTTCTATGATGGGGAGTTGGTGGCATGTGCAGATAAGATCATCTCCTGCCAGTACTGCACCTGGGAGCACCTGCCAAAAAGTGTAAGAGACATCCCAGACACAAAAACCTGATAAAAAAGCAGTTCAGGAATGTCAAGACAACGCATTTTGTTGTTAAGTTGCTTATTGCCAGTTTTCTCAAAATTTGGTACACATACTTATTTTCAGATGGTGTTCAAATATATCCATTTTGGTAAATAGATTTGACATTAGCCACTGCAATTTGATTGCCTATTGGTGCACATTTTTTAAAAATATAGTTGATTATAAGATATGTGACTGTCCCAATAGCCACATTTGCGGTGTTGCACTTGTCAGTGTACTTACATGATGTATTTTCTGTATTTGGCCCAAGTGTTCAAGTAGGCATGTAGACTGCAAATGTGTGTATTACTTTTGACTTTACGATAGAACACGCTTACAACATTGCTTTATTTACCCTTTTTTTTATACTTTGCACTTTAAAATAAACTTTTCTGTTCAGTAGTCCATATGTAACAGACGAGACAATTTAGTAACTGCGATGCTTCTAATTAACTGATAAAAAGCGGTTGCAGATGTTTTAAAAAATACACATACTCATCTCAGCACCAATAAAATGTGCAGCACTTCACATTTTACTACCAAAATTATATGCAATATCTAATTAATTTAACTTGAACTGTAAAGTTTCTGCAACATCACACAATTTTGGGACACGAGTACCTGAACACGATGAATGTTGGGATACACTTAGTAGGGTTTTTGCGGTCCTTAAAAAAGTCTTACATTTGGTTTGATCAAATTGAAGGCCATAAACAGTCTTAAACAGTATAACAAAAGTCTTAATTATTTTAAGAGGTCTTAAATTTAGGGACGGAAGTCACCATGGAATAATTATTTGATTATTAAACATCAAAAGGCTATGATTCAATTATGTGAACGCTGCATGTTTCAAAATGTTGCGCTGTTACGTATTGTACAGGATTGCGGTTTCAGAGCAGTTCGCAATCAGTGAATATGATTGCTTATCAATTAAATTCAGTTCACTTCAATTTCACTTTATTGTTGGAATTTCTTCCAAAAATTGTCTCGCATCCCATAGTGTTTACTGTCTAACATTAATGCACATCAATACACATTACACAATACAACACACACACACACAAAAAAGTATGTTAATACACATCCATCTGCAGTGCAAATACTTAAGTCCCTTCCATTCCTCAGAATCCTACTTAGACCCCCAATTCGGATTAATTAATTTTACTGACTGATGAACAAAAGATTTCCGTAATCTGTTCATTCTAGCATATGGTACTCTCAGTGCATGTGGTACTTATCATGCACCATTGATAAACTGACAATGTTTACGTTATGGTTTTTATATTATGTTGTAGATTGTTGTAAGAGTGTGTGTTTTATGGCTCATCTTTCTAAATGAGCAGCTGAAAGTAGTAAAGCATAGACATTTCAAAATAAGATTGTATGAGTTTGTTCTGTAACGGCATGCAATATTTATTTTATTTGTGCAGGTCTTAAAAAATCTGATTATAAAATCTCTGCAGAAAACCTGCTTAGCTTACCGCTCCCATTCACTTTTTAAACATGTAGTCCACCTCCTCCTCATGGGTTATCCGGCCACACATGCCCGTACAAACACACAAGTCATTAGTGTAAGAAATGTGAAGGCCAGAAACTGAGATAACCGCCTTCTTGAATTTGGTTGTATTTCATGGCTACATTTGGTGCTTAAGGATGTAAGATTTTTTCATTAGCCAGTTTCCACTTGTGCTTTGAAATGCTGATGTTACTATTTATGTCTAGAAAGTTCAATACAAAGACCTCTTATTGATCATGTTGTTGGTTTTCACTGATAATTATAGTATACCTTCTGCAGATGTCACATTGTGCTCTGGTCTGTGCTGCATTTTTAGGGATTTCCTGTGATTTTCCATGGAGTGATTGGAAAGGATGAGAGAGAGTCAAACAGCCCCTCCTTTTTCAACACTTCTGAAATTGATATCATGATCGACTACCTGAAGAAGCTCCTCCTGACACAGGCCAAGAAGGGCATTGCAAAAATCTCCCCCAAAGAGATTGGCATTATAGCCCCCTACAGGAAACAGGTGAAAATACCTTTTCAACAGCTCAGCGGCAGCAAACCTGATGCATAGTATACTGCACACACAATGCAGTTAGTAGCCTATCGAGTAAATCCACAAGAAAATTTGTTTGCAGAGAGTTACGCTACCATTCAAAAATTTGGGGTTGGAAAGATTCTTTGTTCAGTGTATATTCTAAAATGTAATGATGACAAAGCTGAATTTTCAGCATCCATTACTCCAGTCTTCCTTCAGAAATTATTCTAATATCCTAATGCGTTGCTCAAGTCACAATTGAAAACATTTATGCTGCATAATATTTTTTGTGTGGAACATGAGGCTTTTTTCAAGATTCTGATGAATAGAAAGTTCAAATGCATGTATTTGAAATAGCAACATTTTGTAACATAATAAATGTCTTTACTGTACTTTTGATCAATTTAATGTGTCCTTGCTGAACAAAAGTATCAATTTCTTAAAGTACAAACTCCAAACTTTTTAAACAGTAGTGTAAATACATGAAATATTCTGTACTTATTACTTTTTCACTCTGCTTTTGTTTTTTATTGTACATATCTGTTTTATTTTTATAGGTGGAGAAGATCAGGAAGGCCATCAAGATGCACAGGGAGCTTAAATCCTGTTCGGGCATTGAGGAGCTGAAGGTCAGCATGAGTCTGTGCCGTGCGGACACTCCTACACTCTGTTATCAGTTCTTATCCTTGTCAGGACACGTGAGCAAAAACATGACTGCTGTACGTGTTGTGTAGGTTGGTTCTGTGGAGGAGTTTCAAGGCCAGGAGAGGAAAGTGATCATTGTGTCAACTGTTCGCAGTGACAAGAAACACATAATTTTGGATGAAACATTCAGCATTGGGTTTCTGAAGAATGAGAAGGTAGTGTTTAACACATGACAATACACCACACAGAAGTCTACAAAACAAAGTTGTTTCACCTCTTGCTTTCTTTTCTCCAGAGATTCAATGTGGCAGTGACGAGAGCAAAATCCCTGCTCATCATGGTGGGAAACCCCATCATTCTACAGACAGACGCAACCTGGGGCAGGTATATAAACTTCCAACTAACACATGCATAAAATATATAAAATACTCTTTATATAATTTCAGGACATGGTGTGAGTTGATATTGCAAGCCGATTTTTTTTTTTACCTTGTTGATCTATGTGTTTGTAGATTTATTCATTACTGCATTGAGAAGGGAGGTTATACTGGATATGATATTTCCAATTTGGAGGAAACAGAGGCGGTTGTTGAGCGCCTGCTCGCTCTAAACATCCATGAGGAGACCATAGGTAAGGCATGGCTTTAATAAAAGTACAGTCACACTAGACTTTGTGCTTCATTTGCTTCCATTAATGCGGAATAGGAAATGCAAGCTTAAGGTAGTTAAGGTAGTTGCTGAAGTTCAAATGTAGTGAACGCTGATCTGCAAATTTGCATAAAGAAATATATATGAAAACTTTGAATATACTTTATTCATAATTGATTATTTAATAAAAGTGGCCCAAGAGCGTGACATCACATCCTGTTTCCCATGTTTGTTTGGTGTGAGCCTAGAGTGACGACCGCACATTCATAATTAATCATTTACTGACAGGTTATACAAATACACTACCATTTAAAAGTTTGGGGTGAGTGTTTTTTAGTTTTTTTTAAGAAATTTATATTTTTATTTAATCCAAATGAATTTGTTCAAAAGAGACAGTAGATATATTTATGTTACAGAAGTTTTCTGTTTCAAATAAATGCTGTTCTTTTGAGCTTTCTATTCATCAAAGTATTCTGAAAAGAAAAATGTATCCGGGTTTCTACAAAATTATTAAGCAGCACAACTGTTTTCAAAATGGATAATAATAAGACATTTTTCTTGTGCACCAAATCAGCATATTAGGATGATTTCTGAAGGATCACATGATACTGAAGACTGGAGTGTTGACTCTCAGCTTTGCAATCACAGGAATAATTAAATTTTTCAACTGTTATTTTAAATGGTAATATTATTTTACAATATTACTGTTTTTATGGTATTTTGATCAAATAAATTCAGCCTTAGTGAGCATAAGAGACTTTTCTCAAAAAAATCTTACCGACCCCAAACTCTTAAACGGTAGTGTATTTCGACCTACACAACGGTACACCTGTTCCCTTTCGAACGGTCTCTCCCGTTGCGTTGACACTCTTATGGGGAAACTCCTGTTTACACTGATACTGAAGCCTGATTTGTTTACGTTCGCGTAGCTGCACGAACCAATGGCGCTTCATCCCGCAAAAAAGGGAGGACCGACCTCTATATAAGTCGTCTCTGAGCACCATATCGTCAGAATTTTGCTCCTTCAGTGGCAAAGATCATCTCCTCGCTGACTCTGCAAGCAAGAAGCCAAAGAAGGAAGAAGCTGTGAGCGGCTTAATTTCCTTCGGTGCATCTGAGGAGGAAGCCGCCTTTGATGACTCCATGTCATGGCTTTGGATGCTGAAGAGTGGGCGTGTTCCGGCGAAGAGTCCGAAACCCTGCCTCTGACCCAGACAACACGGCCCAGCGTGGACAGTTAGCTGATCCACATTCTATCTAAGGCTGTGGAGGACGAGTGACGAGTGCTACCTAAAAGGGCGCCATCAACATTCCTCCCACCAATGGCCCGCTCCTTTCCTGCCGGCAGTTCATGAGGAACTCACCAGGACATGGCACGCCCTGAGCGGTTTACAGCGGCACAGAAGTCATCTCAAGCAATGCGTCACTTCCTGCCGAAGCACTTCAATGCTCCAACCTGGGCTTCAGCAGCGCCCCCAGATGGCGAAACGCTACCCTTTTCCAAACCGCCATGGTCCCCGACCCAGAATGGCATTGGACCCTGAACCTCAGAAGCTGTCCTGATCCAAACGCAGAGAGGAAGAAGAGAGGGTCAGTTCTTGCCGAGGCCAGAACTCCCTCAAAGAAAGCTTACACTCGCTCTCCATCTCTCCACTTAACATTGAGCGATGGAAGCTCCATTCAACCTGGGCCCATCCTTCTCATTCAGTGTGCACCCAAGCAAAATACTGCTGTGAACAAAACAAAGTTGTTTCACCTCTTGCTTTCTTTTCTCCAGAGATTCAATGTGGCAGTGACGAGAGCAAAATCCCTGCTCATCATGGTGGGAAACCCCATCATTCTACAGACAGACGCAACCTGGGGCAGGTATATAAACTTCCAACTAACACATGCATAAAATATATAAAATACTCTTTATATAATTTCAGGACATGGTGTGAGTTGATATTGCAAGCCGATTTTTTTTTTTACCTTGTTGATCTATGTGTTTGTAGATTTATTCATTACTGCATTGAGAAGGGAGGTTATACTGGATATGATATTTCCAATTTGGAGGAAACAGAGGCGGTTGTTGAGCGCCTGCTCGCTCTAAACATCCATGAGGAGACCATAGGTAAGGCATGGCTTTAATAAAAGTACAGTCACACTAGACTTTGTGCTTCATTTGCTTCCATTAATGCGGAATAGGAAATGCAAGCTTAAGGTAGTTAAGGTAGTTGCTGAAGTTCAAATGTAGTGAACGCTGATCTGCAAATTTGCATAAAGAAATATATATGAAAACTTTGAATATACTTTATTCATAATTGATTATTTAATAAAAGTGGCCCAAGAGCGTGACATCACATCCTGTTTCCCATGTTTGTTTGGTGTGAGCCTAGAGTGACGACCGCACATTCATAATTAATCATTTACTGACAGGTTATACAAATACACTACCATTTAAAAGTTTGGGGTGAGTGTTTTTTAGTTTTTTTTAAGAAATTTATATTTTTATTTAATCCAAATGAATTTGTTCAAAAGAGACAGTAGATATATTTATGTTACAGAAGTTTTCTGTTTCAAATAAATGCTGTTCTTTTGAGCTTTCTATTCATCAAAGTATTCTGAAAAAAAAATGTATCCGGGTTTCTACAAAATTATTAAGCAGCACAACTGTTTTCAAAATGGATAATAATAAGAAATTTTTCTTGTGCACCAAATCAGCATATTAGGATGATTTCTGAAGGATCACATGATACTGAAGACTGGAGTGTTGACTCTCAGCTTTGCAATCACAGGAATAATTAAATTTTTCAACTGTTATTTTAAATGGTAATATTATTTTACAATATTACTGTTTTTATGGTATTTTGATCAAATAAATTCAGCCTTAGTGAGCATAAGAGACTTTTCTCAAAAAAATCTTACCGACCCCAAACTCTTAAACGGTAGTGTATTTCGACCTACACAACGGTACACCTGTTCCCTTTCGAACGGTCTCTCCCGTTGCGTTGACACTCTTATGGGGAAACTCCTGTTTACACTGATACTGAAGCCTGATTTGTTTACGTTCGCGTAGCTGCACGAACCAATGGCGCTTCATCCCGCAAAAAAGGGAGGACCGACCTCTATATAAGTCGTCTCTGAGCACCATATCGTCAGAATTTTGCTCCTTCAGTGGCAAAGATCATCTCCTCGCTGACTCTGCAAGCAAGAAGCCAAAGAAGGAAGAAGCTGTGAGCGGCTTAATTTCCTTCGGTGCATCTGAGGAGGAAGCCGCCTTTGATGACTCCATGTCATGGCTTTGGATGCTGAAGAGTGGGCGTGTTCCGGCGAAGAGTCTGAAACCCCGCCTCTGACTCAGACAACACGGCCCAGCGTGGACAGTTAGCTGATCCACATTCTATCTAAGGCTGTGGAGGACGAGTGACGAGTGCTACCTAAAAGGGCGCCATCAACATTCCTCCCACCAATGGCCCGCTCCTTTCCTGCCGGCAGTTCATGAGGAACTCACCAGGACATGGCACGCCCTGAGCGGTTTACAGCGGCACAGAAGTCATCTCAAGCAATGCGTCACTTCCTGCCGAAGCACTTCAATGCTCCAACCTGGGCTTCAGCAGCGCCCCCAGATGGCGAAACGCTACCCTTTTCCAAAACGCCACGGTCCCCGACCCAGAATGGCATTGGACCCTGAACCTCAGAAGCTGTCCTGATCCAAACGCAGAGAGGAAGAAGAGAGGGTCAGTTCTTGCCGAGGCCAGAACTCCCTCAAAGAAAGCTTACACTCGCTCTCCATCTCTCCACTTAACATTGAGCGATGGAAGCTCCATTCAACCTGGGCCCATCCTTCTCATTCAGTGTGCACCCAAGCAAAATACTGCTGTGATAGCGGACCCACATACTCAAAAGAGCATTTCTCCTCTCCTCATTACCACGAATGTCAGTTCCTCGCCCCCTTACGGCACACTTCTATTCAAAAAACTATAATCACTTGCTATCTGGCTTCAGGCTTGGAAAGCTATCCCAAATGTGTCAAGTTGGGTTCTAAAAACCATAGAACAAGGTTACTCACTCCAGTTCGCTCACAGGCCACCTCACTTCAGAGATGTTATTCAAACTTCGGTACAGGACAACTTTTTTGTTGTCTTTTTTTTTTTACGAGACAGCGAGATGCCCTGGCCCACGATTAGCCCAGTGCTCGCCTATACGCCTTCTCCCCGGTTGCCCTGCTTCCTCAGGTCATCAGACGGTTCAGGGAAGTCAGATGCTCGGTTCTTCTGGTGGCCCCACTCTGGAGGAATCCGATGTGGCTCCCCGAGTTGATTCAGCTGCTATCGGCAGCCCCCTGGCTGATAACACTGAGGGAGGACCTTCTCTTGCAAGCGAAGGGCATAATTTGGCAACGGGAGTGACTGGTCGAAAGGTAATGCTCCGGTTACTAACGTAACCTTGCTGCCCAGAGATAAGGGAATGAGCGTTGTGTAGGATGCAGTGCTATAAGGCTGCGCGTGAATCGATGACTGTCGCTTCAGTCGAAAGATTCTGATGAAATGGTGCTCTGAGCCGACTTATGTAGAGGTCGGCTCCTCCCCTTTTGGTGGGTTGAAGCGCCATTGGTTTGTGCACAAATCAGGCTTCAGTATCAGAGTAAACAGAGTTTCCTCATAAGCGTTTGAAAGCAACGCTCGTTCCCTTATCTCAGGGAACCATGGTTATGTTAGTAACCATAATGTTTTGTTTATATTGGCACTTTTTAAGGACAATTTCTGTGCTTTTTTTTCTTTGGGATTTAAAATAAATCATAAACCAAGTGCTAACTGTCATGTTCTTTCTCATCCTAGTGAAAACAGAGGAGAGTGTGGTCCAGCAATATCTGAATCCTGAGTGGAGACATGACCATTAAATGAAGTGCTATTGTTAAAGCGCCTCCTAGTCAGGCCACTCTCATTAGCATAACCACACCCCTTTTCCCTTCCACTTAGAATGGGAAAGTCTTAATGAACTTAGAAGTTTCATTTTAAATCTAAAGCTGCACTATGATATATAAACATTGTATTAAACTAAAGGAGTAAGTTTTTTGGAAATCAGTGCTACATGACTAGAGAAAACAGAAAAAGAGCTGGTTGAAAATCTACAAACTATTCTCAGGGCTTTGCATGCAATGTTGCCTATATTGAATGAAAAGATTTTATAAGATATTTGAAAGAAAATGCATTAATCTGTACCACAGACATTATGAAACACATGGTTGATAATTAATTGATTACTGCCCTGAAATAAGTGCCTTATTTTATAAAATTATCAAGCAACCCAGGAATGTTAATTTAATAATGCTTATTCATGGTGGTAATGGTTTTGTTTGTTTTCCCACTGGTTTGTTTAGAAATTGCTAATGGAGTTGGAGGTTTACATCAGTGCATTGTCAATCACATCATTTTTAAAAAGTGTACTTAATTTCAAAGACTTTTGGCTGAAGTAAATACAATATTGTAAAATGAAGGATGTTAAATCACAAGTCAATGCAAAATTTGGATTAAGGAATTAGTTACAGGGCTGCGCAGAGACGTTTGGAGAGGCAGGTGCTCAAAGTATAAAAGGGGCACATGGAACAAGGCTTTAAATTGGGCTGTGCTCAAAATATCAATACAGCAAAATACTGTGGCACATTCCTTGCTGATACGCGTATCGATACGGATGCTTCTATATTGATACAGCAGCAAATGCTGTGACGCAGCATTTCCACAAAGCATTCTTGGGAGTTTTGCTAAAAATTTGAGGGAATTTTTACATCATGTATTTTTAAGGCTTTCAACTGGCTGTTAACTCAGGATATGAATTATTACGGTATGTTTCTAAAGAATAGTGGGAAATCATGAGATAAAGAAAGAATTTTTTTTGCACCTCAACTCTGGAATTAGAAACTGGATTGTATGATATTATTATTGTTGTTGTTGTTGTTATATTATTATTATTATGAGTTTACAGGGCATGGTGGTTTTAGTGTTGTAAACACTACTGTTGGTGTTGTAGGGGAAAAAAATCTGTCATAGATAAAATAGAATTCTATTCTAATCTTGTTCTGAATTTATTCTTTTTTTTAGGATAATGATAATAAAAACAGGATTGAAAAGTATAATTCAGAGGATGAGAAACTCAGTATAGGTTAAGCCTGTTTTACCAGTGTTGTGATAATTATTTTTAAGGCACTCTACGTTTTTAAAACAAATACTGTAATATAGTTCAAAATAGACCCCTCGACGCCCGTTAAAGTTTTCTCAATCAAACAGCAAGGACAAAGAGATCAGGCACGTTTATTTATATTGCTGTTTATAGAAATACGTTAGCTACATTTTTTATAT